TTGAAATTAGTTGATATATAATTTAATAACTCTTAAGCATCATTTATGGTGCTGTGTCAGTCTGCTCAGACTGCCCTAGCAAAAAAACACCAACTAGCTGGCTTAAACAACAGAAATCGATTTCTCACCATTTTGAAGTCTGGAAGTTCCAGATCAAGGTCTACAGGGTTAGTGCCAGGTGAGGACCCATTCTTTGTATGCATGCAGATGGCCACCTGTAGTCCTCACATGGTCTTCTGAGCATGTGAAGAGAGAGAGAAGTCACTCTCTCTTTCCTTATAAGGCCAGCAACCCTAGCTGTTTAGGGGCCCACCATTATGACTTCATTTAATCTCAATTGCCTTTTGAAGGCCCTATCTGCAAATACAGTCAGGTTGGAGGTTAGGGCCTCAACATATGAATTTGGGAGGAAACACAATTCAGTCCATTGCAGATGCAAAAAGAGAAAAAAAATTGATACAGTTTCTGTTGACCAAGAAAAAAAAGTGAAAAAAAAGTAAGCTTGAGGGGTCTTGCTAATGACTGACAATAAGACCCATCTGGGTGTATGCATTGTTCTGTAGATTAAATCAAACTTAAAGTGTATTTTTGACCCTAGTACTCAATGTTATAAAGTAACTCATTGCCTACAAATGAGGAATCAATTCCAAGTTCCCATGGTACATTTCTTCTATTCCCCAGTCTTTGGATACCCAGGGTACCTAGGGGAAGGGATAGTGCAAAAGCCTGGCTGGCCTGGGTTTGAATCCCACCTTCTGTATTTGATTTATCACTGTACCTTTCTGAGATGGTCTATTTAATGATATTTACCTTGATGCATATATTAAAATATAGGCTATTCTACTATGTATGTGTGTGTGTAAAACACAGTAGCTTGAATATAAGAAAAATGATAGGAATTAATTTCCCTTATACAAACAACATAGAAATAAGCAAACCAAGGCTGGTAGGAAGTCCCTGACACCAGTCTCAACAGAAACTTCCATGTTAGAGACAAAGATGCTACCTCAGTTTTACTTTTACTCCAATGGCAACCCAGTAGGAGCCAGACTAAGTCATCTACAGTAACTGTTCCAGGCAGCATCCCAAAGTGACACACATAAATTCTGCTCCCATTCCTTCTGCCAGAGACTGGATGTACTGTTATATCAGACAGGGAGACTGAGTGAGAAGCACTGTTCCCTAGCTGTTATTATATAGCAGTGGTTACCTGCCTCATAGTTGTTGTAAAGATTGGAAATAATTTACTAATTCATTAATCTGTGTTGAATTGTGAAATATCACAACAAAGTGCTTCAATCACTCTTCTTACTTTTTCCCATCACCTTACTACTGGCCAAATGTGGCCCATGATCTAACAGCATCAGCATCACCCAGGAGACTTAGAAATGTAGAATTTCACCCCCTGGTCCTGTACGAGTTGTATTTTAACAATTTGACAAGCCCTGAGCTAGTGTGTTCTTTGTAAATCTCTTACGGCACCTTTTGGCTATATTACCTTGAATAGTGACAAGTTGTGGTAGAGTTAAGTGGAGTAATGTGTGTAAAATGCCTTAAATCTGTACAGTGCTTCATCGCACTATTTAAGTGTACAGGTGCGAGGAGGAACAACGCTACTCATGAGTTATTGGGACACCAAACTTGAGAACTATGGGCTTTCAGATTTTCTAACCTTGATAATATCCCTTGATATTGTACTGCCATATGAAGGAAGCCTTCTATTTCTAAAAAACATGCTTGAATTGTCGCACACTGTTTTAAAGTACAGATTTTATTATTTAAGGAGGTACTAGACCCATCCTTCTGAATTGAGTCTTTTCCATGTTCTTTTGTAGTATCTAAGGATTTCAGCATTTTATCTTTTTTTCCCCCTTTTTTTATGATTGTGCTGGGGATACATTGTGACATTTGTAAAAGTTCTTATAATATATCATACTTGAATTCATCCCCTTCATCATTCTCCTTTATCCTCCCACCCCTATTCCTGGAATAGTTTCAACAGATCTCATTTTTCCATTTACATACATGTGTATACAGTATTTGCACCATATTCGCCCTCCTACACCCTTTCTCTACATCCTCCCCCCACACATGCTGGTACCAAACCCCTAGAAAGGACCTGTTCTTCCCTCCTGTTTTCCAGTTTTGTAAAAGAAAAAAAATGACATTTTTATTTGTTTAAGATAGCTGTACAAGAGTTTCCTTGTGACATTTCCATGTATGTATGTATTATAACCCAAATTGGGTTCATCTCTATTTCTCTCCTTTCTACCTTAATCCCCTTCTTATGATGATTTCAGCAGTTTTAAAAATTCTGTATTCATTCTTGTATAGGAAGTACATCAACCACATTCACCTTTTCAGCTTCCTTCTTTTACCCTTCCTCTCTCGTGTATGACCTCCCCTTATCATGACCTGTTTTTCATAATATTGGTTGTATTTGTATTAGGTCTCTATTCCACATGAGAGAAAACATGTAGCCATTCAGAACTTGGCTAGTTTCACTTCAGATGATGCTCTCCAGTTCTATCCATTTACCTGCAAATGACAAATTATCCTATAATTTGTATGATTGAATATATAGATTTTGACGTCAAATGAATATGCAAATGATTCTGAAAAGGGTAATCAGAAAAATAGAAATTTTTTATCAGTGGAGAAATCAATGAAAGGAATTGATAAACAACAACCTCATGGGATCAAATGAAAGCAGTTATTTATAGTTTATTACATTACAAGTTGCTGACTCACACATTAGTGAGATGCTGTAGATTGAATGAATATCTCTTACCTGAAATTCCAGGAGCAGTATTTAGGGTTGGTGGGGTTTTTTTTTTTAATATTTTAATAGACTTTAACTTTCTTAAGTTTTGGACTTTGGAACACTTCTGACTTGAACGTTTAGATTAGGGATGCAGAATCTACAAAAAACCAGGAGAATCCCCTTCTCACAGACTTCCGTTTTCTCATCTGTGAATCGGGAAAGACATTTGTCCTACTTCTCTCACAGTGTTTTGGGGTCATAACATGACATCCTACAAAAATGTGCTGTGCATATAGAAGATGATATTACTATCTAGCATTGCGAGAGAGGTGGGTATATGTGGACATGTATGTGAAAGAACTTATTATTTAAATGTTTGGCAAATAAGCTTGTGAGCTGGTGCTCTGTCGAATTCAGGGTCCAACCCTTTGCCCTTACTTCAGGTAGAAAAAAAGTGAGAGACAGACACTTGTTCACTATGCAGACCATTTAGGTATCAGATCCACAATAGGTGAAGTTCTAGGTGATGTACATCTGATGCACCCAGGGAGAAGTTTAGGTTTTAGAAGAAAGCAGATAGCTAAGAAGCTAGAGGAAGGGGAGCTCTGAGTTGTAGATTTTTCTGGGTCTCTGAGAGTCATACCTTTGCTCTCCTGCCTGTGACCAGAAGGGATATCCACAGTGGAAGAGATCCCTGATGCATCTTTAGGGGCAAGTGCACCTGTGGGCTTGGGACTAATGTATTTAGAAAAGTACTACTAGACTTCTTAGAGGCCTCACATTCTATTCCATGTTCCTTTGCATTCAGGATATGAGTGTTGAACTGAAAACTTGAGCTTTGATGCTAGGGGGATGGTCCTGTGCACATGGCATAGCTTCTCCTCAGGGACTTTCAGTTAATTGTGGAGATAAACAACTTCATTGGCGAGAACGGTAACAACTAATATTTGTACTGCATTTCAAAATAGATTTTGGTGTGCTACACCCACACTTGAAAATGTGTGTATATAAAAGTAAGGTCACGGGTATGTTTATATCTATATTACATACAAAAAAGACCAAAATAGGCTATAAGTCAAAATGTTAATGGTGTTTTTTGTTCTTTTCTGTGTTTTTTATATCTTCAGTGAACATGTATTGTCTATATTATTACAAAAATACAATCACAAGCTACTGGAGCCTCCAAAGTATTTTTATGCACAGTAGCTCATTTGATCCTCATATTCACCCTGTGAGGTCAATAATAAACACCAGTATATAGACGAGAGAATTGGAGAAGATAGACATGTAACTCAGAAACTCAGGAAATCAGGTGCAGCAAGATTACTTGATATGGATGGTTTGGGACAAGTAGAAATTGGCAAACAGGAACAGAGTAAAAAAAATCTCAAAAGTGAAAGAAGTTGAATACTGCTTGAATGAAGTGCAAATGCTGAGATCCCTTAAAAATATATCAGACATAGGGGAGACTCCACAAATATTCACTGCCTGAAACCGATCATCTTCATTTCTGTGGTACAGATCTGATGAGGATGTTGGAGGATTAATCACAAGAAATATGTAGATCTGTACCTAGTATATAGAGATATACACTAGAAAGTGTTGATGATTGTAGATGAGGGGTGCAAAAGAATGATAAGTACAAAATATGACAGTTTGTGCTACTATTATTGGATACTTCCATTGTCTGTTTAAATCTGTTTGGTCATTGCAAAGGTTTTAAATCTGTACACTTAGATTTTCTGATTACACTTTACTTCTGAAGTAAAGTATGCTGTGAGGGTTAGTCTGAAATGTCCTATTGAAACCTGAAATACACCTGCCTGTCAGTGAACCCTGCTCAAGGCATGAATAATGTTGCTTTTAAATATCAAGTCCGAGGAGTTTCAGTATTTATACCAACTATCATGCTGCTTTGGTAAATGAGATGAATGATTTGCATCTAGTCTTGGTGAGACCTTGCAGGTTTGGCTGTTGAGGCTTACTGAATATTAGGAATATGTCAAAGTGGCCAGCAGAATATAAACTCCATGACACTACCGATTGAGTTCCAAAGATTGCTCAGAGAAGGTATAGTGGGATACTGATTGCTTTAATACCCTCTTCCTGGTTGTTTTAAGTCCTTATATTCTCATGCAGGTCAAATATTGAAATCCTAACAGCCCATCGTCAACATCTCTTACTCTCTTAACAATGTGCCAAAACATGTGAAATATTTCTTTATCATTTTTTCCAGACCCCCTGGCTGTGGAATACAAAGCACTGCTGGTACAACTACCCCTACCAGGTAAGGAAGCCTAACTGTCTGGCTCACATAGCGTATCTTTCTTAGGTCAAGTTTATGGTTTCGGGCAGATCCCTACAGGTTAGGCAGCCACTTACTTTTTGTCTCTGCCACCACTGATTAATACTAGATACAACCTGGTGAGGATAATAGTTTGCATGTTCTTAGTGAAACTCAGAATCAAAGCCTAATTGCTTTAACAGATGGAATAAACTTGGAAGGCCCATTTGCTGGAGAATAGGATGCAGTCAGTTCTACAGGTGGATGACTCCTTTTGTAACAGCCAGTCTGCTTCTCATTACAGATTAAAGTCCGAGGGCCTGCTGACAGCACAGGCCTCCCTTAACAGCATGTGGGAAAGCTCAAGTGCAGAGTAGGGGCAGACATGCCCAGTTCAGTTCACTCCATAGCTCAGAGCAGCCTCTAAATATATAATTCAAGCACCATTTCCCTCAGTGCAGAAAAATGGCTTGTCCCATTACACATGATGGATTGTTTTTGTAACTAAAAAAAAAATCACTGAAAGTGAGATTAAATCATATCCCAGAAAAGGAGCATTTTAGATTCGTGCCCACTGACATTACCTTTGCATCTACCCATGAATTCAGTAGTATTAATATGTGTCATTGGAGTCCCCAGTGATACTTGAATAGCAGAGGTGGGGCTTTTCTGAGAATTTCTAGCTGGGAAATTTCTCATTCACTTGGGATATGTTATGTAAGAGAAGCAAATGCAGCTTTGTATTTTGGTGACAAAATAAACAGAGATGTATTATAATAAGGATGTTGGATTTTTGAGCGTGGCAGTCTTGGAGTTGTCTTTTCAAAGGCACTTGGACTTTCTGGTGTGCATACAGTTAATGGGGAGCATGTTCTTTATCTTCTCTATTACGCACACAGTCGCAACAGGGTAGGGACTGGCATTGGATATCTTTGGGCATATTCAAGGCTAAGGACATATTGAAATGGAATCCAGTTTCCATTTTCATCCCTTTTAAGTAGTTTATTCAGATTAACATGCCATGGTTAGAGCTGAATGTTTCAGGGATATCGGAGGAAGGCTGAGGCCAGGCCGTATCCCACTGTAATTCTCAGGCCCAGCTGCAGTTTTTGTTGCCCAAATTCTTGGAGTATTGTCATTTAAGGCTCTCTTTGTATCCTATAATGGCATACCGAGTAACATAATCCATATATACCTAAATTTCTGTTTATAAAGGACATTAAAGTCTTCCTCACTTGAAATGTTGGTGTGGCAGCTGCTGTAATGCCCTATGTTTATGTGGTAAATTCTACAGCATGAAAGACATTGAGACAAATGCCATGGGAAATGTGATGCCTACTCTTCTTCTTAACTATAATGTAGCTCAAAATAACTTCTCTTGTTCATGGCTGGAGTTGAACAATTACTTATTCCTGAGATGAGTTGCTAGTGCTATGTCCCAAAATATAGCTATGAGCTGCTTCACAAACAGCATCATAGATTCAACATGAAAGTTTGAGGGTCTGGTAGATATAGTTATGCTTAAAAGTAGTAAATATCATTAGTATAGAAAGAAAAATGTGGGGGTTCGGATCAGGAATTATCTCCTACTGATAAGGCATCATTGCTTATTGCTGGACAATTCAGCCTAGTTCCCAAAATCTAGGACAAACTCATGATCTCCTGTGGGAACAGTGGTCATCAAATGCCATATACTAATAAAACTTAATGGCTTTCTTTTTGTGTGTGGGAAAAAAATTAAACAGCATGTAATTGCTATGTATGCATTATAGTGCTTTGTGTGTAATCATGTCTATAAATATATATGGAAGATTGCAGTTCAAAGTCAGTCTCAAGCTTTCAGAGTACTTTTAAAGATTGAGCACACTCATGAACTTATTTATTATATCTATAGCATATATATTATGTAAGTAATTGAACAGATTTTTAGATGAAAAGGCAATAGTCTATTTTTTTAAAAGACACATTGCTCCTTGATGAGCATGCATACTAGATTTATGTATAATTTATTTTCATGTGTATATTTCAAGATTAAAATAATATAAAGCTGACCCTCAGTTGACCCTCTGTCATACAGCTGGTTACAAGGAACACACATTGGGCATGAGAAGCCCTAATGAAGTGGTCATGGTGCCTTGCTGGCTGTGAGACCTAGCCTCTGAACCTGAATTAACTGCAGCAATTTCCTGTCAACTATACACTCTTGATCTAGAATGACAGTACTAATTTTATAAGACTTTTTATGTGGATCAAAGAAGTCAACATGTGAGTGAGCTTTACCCACTGTAGAGCAGTCCATGAATATGGTGCTCACAGTACAGTGCTCTAGGAGCTTCTGCAGTTTCTAGACGTGATCTAACTCGTCCTATGACTCATCTGGAGCACTTTCCCAGGTGATAATGCCAGGAGCAATCTCATTAAATTTGAAATTTGACCTTGGCTTAATGGCTGCTGAAACCAGGACCTAATTTTCTAAACCTTATGGTTGCCAGTGTCTGCCTGAATACCCATCCTTCATTCCTAATGTCTTCAAATTTTTAAAAGGGTGGTTGGTAGGAAATTCTCTAATTCTCTCCAGGGTGATGCTGTGCTTGATTAAGAAGAAAACCAATGATTGTCTAAGTCACCTCAGGCTGCCATTACAGAATTCTATAAGAAGGGAAGGGTTGTATTCCAGGATTTTTTTGTTTTTGTTTTTGCAGCAGGTTTTTTTGCTTTAGTAATTTTTCAGATAGGACCTTGTGTTTGGCCTTGGACCACGATTCTCCTGCATAGCTGGGATTATAAGTATGATTTACTCACACATCCAGCCTATTGATTGAAAGGGGATCTCCCTAACTTTTTGCCTGTGCTAGCCCTGAACTGCAATCCTTCTAATCTTTGCCTCCCAAGTAGCTGGGATTACAGAAGTAGACCACAATAACCCTACTTGTGTCCTATTCTTGAGGGCTCCCCTGTCATAAGCTATTACCTCCCAAAGGTCCCACTTCCAAATTCCATCACATTGGATATTAGGTTTCAACATACGCATTTTGGAGGGACACCAATATTCAGTGCATAGAAGTGCTCTTTGTCACTTACGAATTTACAATTACCAGTTAGAAAGTATCCTATCCTATCATATGCTTTGTACTCAAAAATGTGAGAGGGACAATTGTTTTCCTTGATGCCCATGTTTACATAGCTGATTAAATGAGTGCCACCCTCTCATGATAGTCAACCATTGTTCTCTTCTGATACACAAAGCATAAAACTTTGATTGCATTTACTATAGATAGTATTGCCTGTGTGCAGAGGTGTGGACATGCTTACCTGATGAGTTTCAAAGGTTCCTCCTTAATTCTGATGACCAAAGCATTTCATTACAATTCAATAAAACAATTATTAAATAACTTAACAAAAATGTTTTAGGAAAACTTTTATTTTTATGGATAGTCTTCACTATCTCTCTGAGCGTCCTCCATCCCTGAGCCCCTGCAGCAGTTAGAGCAGGCATCACCTTTCCATTGACAAGTAAGTAAATCAAGAACCAGTTTTATACCTAGTAAGCTGTGGAGCTAGGCCTCCCTCTCAGCTTTCTAGGCTGCATACCCAATATGGTATCTCTTGGCAGCCTTCCTGTCCCTCTGATCTTTTAATAAATATTTTTAAATCATTCTTTTTGAATTTGCAATGTACTGAACATTTCCTAACAACAAGAATGGTTTCTAATAAATAGAGAATTCAAAGCTGTGTCTCAGTAATGCACATAGAACTCATTTCTGCCACATGACTTCCTTGTGCCTGTACTTTGGACTCCTAGCAGTTGCACAAAGTATTCTTATCATGAATGCATTAGCATTTTTTCTGATTGCCTAAGGAATTTTATATGAAAGAAACATACATCTATTGTGGAACAGAGTATTGAACTGGATCCCAAATATTTATGCTGTTTTATGCTTTGGGGATTGAGAAGAAATGGACATAATGTCATTGAACTGTGGGTCAGAGCCACCTTGAGAGTTCCATTATCTACAGAGAGAATAGGGCAGGTACTGCATTTGTACAGCATCAGACTGTGTTACCTTTCAGCACTGAGCTTGCAATATTTGGGATACCAATTGGTTTCCCTATTAACTATTAATCTTTCCTTCTTTGTTTTCATCCTCAGCCACTCACAACTGACCTGTACTACTATTACATCGTGGAACTGTCATTCTATTGGTCTTTAATGTTCTCCCAGTTCACAGACATCAAAAGAAAGGTAAGAGTGGTTCTGTCACAAAGGCTTGCATACACATCTTTAGTGGCAGGTGAGTACAGTCTGTTCTCCTGGCAATGCTGCATTATTACAGACAGTTCTCTATATTTGTTTGTGCAATTTTATATTTTGTTCCTGTTGTTCCTTCAATCTCCCCAAAAAACCCAATGTTCTTTTTTCGATGCAAAAATATAGCAGTGAATCCCAACAACCATAATTTTCTCTCCATCTGATTCCCAAGTCCCTACATTCTCCAATTAAATAAGAAGAAATATTTTATTTGTAGCTCCTGGGAGCAAGTGAAATCCTTTGTTTCAGTCCTGCAGAATGAGTTCTCCCAATGAAAGTATTATCTAGTATCAAAATACGTCTGAGAAATGCAACATTCCCGTCCTCCTCCACTGCAATTGCTTTTACCGAGAGTTCCCATGTCCTACTGCGTGTTAGACCCACTCATTCTGGCTTGCGTTGTACCAGCCTCTGGGCAGAATGGTGCCTTTCACCATTCACTGCCTTTTTTTTTTTTTTCCTATGACTCCATTTTCTCAAGACTCCCATATTAGGCTCAAACCTTTTGTCTTGCTAGCCTCCATCTCAGTGCCTTAAGTGCTACAGGGCACCAGATGTGAATTCCAGGATGTCACATCCCCAGATGGTTGAGTTTACATCTTCCCCCACTTCAAGCTATGGCCAGTATGTGCCAGTAACTCCCACATGTTTCTCTTCTACCCCAGATTTTCTTTGGATCCATACATCCATGTCTCTACTCACAAAGAGTAATATTGTGTTCTTTTTATTTATTTTATTACTTAATCCTCATGACAACTCCATTCTAACTAGACTTTTCTTTATAATCATTTTATGAATGGGAAAACTGAACTGGGCCTTACATGCAGAATGTTCCCAACTGAAGACATGATCTCCTACTCTTGTTCTTTCTCCAGTAACCCTTTTAACCAGCAATCATGGATGCTAATACATTTCCCTTTGTGCTCCTCTGTCCCACTCCTTGTTCCTACTTCTTTAATATCATTGACATTCCTAGATTTGTCCTTGTACTAAATTGTCATTCTTGTCTACCTGCCACTTAAGAGCTGTGCTTCTGAAAAACCTTCAAAAAAAAAAAAAGGAAAAGTACAAACTACTTGAAGTGATATTGAAAGTTGTAAACAGTGTGATTCAAACCCATTTCTCCAGTTCTGTCATCCACTTCTGACACACACCTAAGTGCTGGCTGCAAATATCATCTCACCATTGTTCAAAAACATTAAGGGTTTTAATGCCTTTTTGCTTATCACAAGATCCTGCCTATAGCTCAGCTATCTCCTATTTTCTCTGTCACCAAACAAGAACTAGTCCCAAAGTAATCTCTTTTTGGGGGCCTTATTCTCCTCCTCAAGGCTTTTGACTGCTGCTGCTTCTTTATTTAGCTTACAGGAGTGTCCTGCATGCAGCACGGTGTACTTTAACAGAATGTTAACCTGCCTCTCTCACTTCTCTAGACATGGAAGATGAGGAGCAATGTCTTAGCTCATTTAGACTGCTGTACCAAAATATAACAGCCTGAGTACCTTAAAAAAAAACCAGAAATCTATTTCTCATAGTTCTAGAAGGTGAGAAGTCCTAAATCAAGGTGCTAACAGATTTGGTGTCTAGTGAGAACCCGGTTTTTCATAGATGTGCAGTAACTCCCACTTTCTCACGGTGCCCACACATGGTGCAAGGGATAAGGCAGCTCTCCGGGGCCTCCTTTATAAATACTAATTCCATTCAGGAGGGCTTCTCCAGAAAGGACCCACCTCCTAACACTATTTCTTTGAGGCTTAGGTTTTTGGCATGAATTGGGCAGGTGAGGAAGGGGGCAACAGACATTGAGTTCAGGGATGTACGTGATGATGGAGCACAGTGCCGTACTATTATAATTCTTGGTTAGACTAGTGATCTGCTGAATTGCAAAATGTTATCCTATTGGCATCTGAAAAGCATGTAGGAGACTATGGGACTGGAACCCAAGTTCCTTTTCCTAGGTATGCCCTTCCTCCTTCTAGTCGTAGTGGCTTACTTGGCTGACAAAATGCTCTCTCCTGACTTTCATGTCTGCAAGGCTAAATGTGGTATATGTCCCCGATCCTCTGAAAAAGTTCCTGTAAAGAGTAGCTTAGCGGGTGACCATTGATACTTTCAAATGGTGGTACCCTTGCTTGTTGTACCAAACACTCTGGGTCAGTTTCTGGAAACATTTAAAGCTCCTTCGGTGATCTCCCCTGTTGTATGTGAGGCCCTTTCTTTATTCGTGTGGTCAACTGTTCTCTCCTCTGTACCAGGTACCCTACTAGGCTTATGTTGCATTTTATTTCCTTTTTGAGTACCCCTTTTGTCTTGGTACTCACACAAAATACTTACATAATAAAGAGATATGTAGGACATTATTCCTTTGTTTTCCATCTTGAGAAACTGATACACAGTGAGTTGATGCAAGTTCCCAAGGCCATGTGATGTAGGAATGAATTAGAGCCCAAATTTGCCTAGCAAAGGCCTGTGCTTAACTCTTAGATTAGACATATATGCAACTCTTGCCTCTCCTGCCATGCTCTTGCTATTAGAGGTAGTGAGCCTTTTCCAGCTCTTTGCCATTTTATTGGTTCCTCTTTGGCTTAATGAGAATTAGGAGTGCTGTCCAGAGACAAAGAGGTTAATTAAAACAGCGCTAGAATAACCTAATCCTAGCAAGACATTGCTATTCCAAAAGCCTCCAAGCCCTCAAGACTTGCTTAAGCTTTCTCATTGTGCCCGTAGCTTGTGTTTTCAGTGAGCCAACACAGTTTAGGGCATCTTCATTGCAGTACGCCAATGAAGTTTTCATAGTCCAATAGTTTTCATAGTCCTAAATGTGGTATATGTCCTCAGTCCTCTGAAAAAGTCCCTGTTAAGAGTAGCTTAGCAGATGACCATTGATACTTTCAAATGGTGGTACCCTTACTCACTGCACCAAACCAGTGGACTATTTTCAAGGGTTAAAATGTATCATTTTGTTTGAATTTAACATATTTAACATCAGTGTAGAAAACATCTATAAAAAAGATTTTTACAAAGAGGTTTGTGGGATTGATCCCAGGTCTGTATATATTGTCAACGTTTAGAAGTTAATTAAACTTTTTCCAAGTTGACTTACAGTAGCTTGTTTTAGAAGTCTGGCACCTCTCTCTTCTTTTGGTCAGAGTACTTTTGTATATTCCTAGTACAGCTGGCTTATTCTGCTTTCTTACACAAAATAGGAACATGGCCACTGCCAGACATGCTTATTAGTTGGCACAGGTTTTAATAAGGAAGGCCTTTCCCTCTGCTGCCATTGCTCATTCAAGTACCGTAGCTCTTGCTTTTTCCCCTCACGTCTTGCTGACTGGCCCTGTGGATCCTTGATGGCTCTGTCCTCATTACACTCCCACCTGAAGGACCTGCTGTTCCAACCACCAGCATACGACATGTGGTATGTTCGATGCCAGATATACTCTCCATATTGAACATTGGAGTTATTAACTAAACCTTGTAGAAACAACCTCCTTCTTATCGTGGACTAGAGATGCTTAAAGATACACATTGGCCACATACCAATTGGAAACCACCTTGTGAAGGCTGGATGTTGATGAGGTTTTAAAAGAAGGGTTATTACTATGTTTAATTGGCTCCCCTATTAAACGTCAGTGAGCTTGAAAGGCCATTTCAAACAGGGATCAGGATTTAGAAACACTGAGTTCAAGCTCATTTATCAGATTCCTTGAGTCAGTATCTTAGGTGAGGTTTGGAAATTTTTTTTGACTGAACAGTTTCATGAATCATTCAAAAATGCCTTTCATATTTGCAATCACTTTTTCTTTTTTCACTATTTAAAAAATTCTGTTTTCACAAAGAATCTGATATTTTAAAAAGGAGGCAACTTTTCTCCTGTATGTGTTGACAGAGCACATGGCCTCTTGAACATTTTCAAAGGTGGCACTTACTTGGTTAGTGAAGAGAAATTCTATTAATCTTACCAGAAGGGAGGGACTAGATAAGATATAATGGACTTGCCACTTAAATATTATATGCTACAGCAGGCCACTGGTGACTCACACCTGTAATCTTAGCAACTTGGGAGGCTGAGATCAAGAGGAATGTGGTTCAAAGCCAGCCCAGGCAAATAGTTTGCATCTCCAAAATATCCAGAGAAAAAATGGACTAGAGGCATAGCTCAAACAGTAGAGGGCCTGCTTGGCAGGCATGAAGACCTGAGTTCAAACCCCAATCCCACCAAAAAAAAAAAAAAAAGAAACATTATATGCTACAAAATATGTAACCCTTTTTATTTTTCCTTATTTTTCTTTCCCTAGTCCCCCCATTCATTTTTCCTTTCCTCCCTTCTTCTGTTCTATCTTTTGTTAAAAATAATAAGATCATCTTAAAACACTAGACATATTCTTGGTACTGAACACTTCTAGAAACTTCTTTTCCCCAAGGCTTAATGTTTGTTAAAATTCTGTCCTTTGGCACCTGCTCACAGCGAGCGTTTCTCCTACACACCCGCATTTTCCAAGGGAAGCTAATAAATATTGTTGTGTTGAGCTTAGAACAGCTTGCATATGTCTAAACCTTGTGTCCCTTTTAACTAAGCTGCTGTCTGGCTCGAAGGCCTGGGCCCCGGCCAGTGAGTCCTGCTCATGTTCAGGAAAGCATCCTTGGCAGAGGTCCAGGGCCTGGCTGGTGGAATCAGCTTGTGGCTCTCTTGGTCTTTAACTAAGAGAGAGAAACACTACAACTTGTACTGTTTCTCTCACCTCACACAGAAGTATGATGATTAAGTATAGCAAGAAACTTACTCGGCAGACTGTTTGCTCTCTGGGAACTTTTTGCAGAAAATAATTAGCATCCACTACTGTGAGTGCTTTAGCTACATTTTGGAGTCCAGCCATGGTCCAGATTTTTCCTTTAGAATAAAAGGAAATGCATGACTTAATCTTCTTACAAGG